GACATGGGTAAACTTTACAACCCCCATAACTCGGCCAAATCTCATCCGATTCTTACGAGGTTGGGCTTTTTCTTCATGGTTTTCCTTCTATATTATTCTGGCATTAAAATCTGAACACCGATTTTTTGGTCGAAATTCATGTCAAAATCTTGCCCCAAGATTCGTATATGGACATGGGTCTAACTTACAACCCCCATAACTCGGCCAAATCTCATCAGATTTTTACGAGGTTGGGCTTTTTCTTCATGGTTTTCCTTCTATATTAATCTGGCATTAAAATCTGAACACCGATTTTTTGGTCGAAATTCATGTCAAAATCTTGCCCCAAGATTCGTATATGGACATGGGTCAAAATTTACAACCCCCATAACTCGGCCAAATCTCATCCGATTTTTACGAGGTTGGGCTTTATACATCTAAGTACATATTTTTTGGTCGAAATTCATGTCCAAATCTTGCCCCAAGACTCATATATAGACATGGGTAAACTTTACAACCCCCATAACTCGGCCAAATCTCATCCGATTCTTACGAGGTTGGGCTTTTTCTTCATGGTTTTCCTTCTATATTATTCTGGCATTAAAATCTGAACACCGATTTTTTGGTCGAAATTCATGTCAAAATCTTGCCCCAAGATTCGTATATGGACATGGGTCTAACTTACAACCCCCATAACTCGGCCAAATCTCATCAGATTTTTACGAGGTTGGGCTTTTTCTTCATGGTTTTCCTTCTATATTAATCTGGCATTAAAATCTGAACACCGATTTTTTGGTCGAAATTCATGTCAAAATCTTGCCTCAAGATTCGCATATGGACATGGGTCAAACTTTACAACCCCCATAACTCGGCCAAATCTCATCAGATTTTTACGAGGTTGGGCTTTTTCTTCATGGTTTTCCTTCTATATTATTCTGGCATTAAAATCTGAACACCGATTTTTTGGTCGAAATTCATGTCAAAATCTTGCCCCAAGATTCGTATATGGACATGGGTCTAACTTACAACCCCCATAACTCGGCCAAATCTCATCAGATTTTTACGAGATTGGGCTTTTTCTTCATGGTTTTCCTTCTATATTAATCTGGCATTAAAATCTGAACACCGATTTTTTGGTCGAAATTCATGTCAAAATCTTGCCCCAAGATTCGTATATGGACATGGGTCAAAATTTACAACCCCCATAACTCGGCCAAATCTCATCCGATTTTTACGAGGTTGGGCTTTTTGTTCATGGTTTTCCCTGTACAATAATTTGGCATTCACATCTAAGTAGATATTTTTTGGTCGAAATTCATGTCCAAATCTTGCCCCAAGACTCATATATAGACATGGGTAAACTTTACAACCCCCATAACTCGGCCGAATCTCATCCGATTCTTACGAGGTTTTTGTTCATGGTTTTCCTTCTATATTAATCTGGCATTAAAATCTGAACACCGACTTTTTGGTCGAAATTCATGTCAAAATCTTGCCCCAAGATTCGTATATAGACATGGGTCAAAATGTACAACCCCCATAATTCGGCCAAATCTCATCCGATTCTTACGAGGTTGGGCTTTTTGTTCATGGTTTTCCCTCTACAATAATTTGGCATTCACATCTAAGTACATATTTTTTGGTCGAAATTCATGTCAAAATCTTGCACCAAGATTCATATATAGACATGGGTCAAACTTTACAACGCCCATAACTCGGCCAAATCTCATCCAATTCTTACGAGGTTGGGCTTTTTCTTTATGGTTTTCCTTCTATATTAATCTGGCATTAAAATCTGAACACCGATTTTTTGGTCGAAATTCATGTCAAAATCTTGTCCCAAGATTCGCATATGGACATGGATCAAAATTTACAACCCCCATAACTCGGCCAAATCTCATCCGATTCTTACGAGGTTGGGCTTTTTCTTCATGGTTTTCCTTCTATATTAATCTGGCATTAAAATCTGAACACCGATTTTTTGGTCGAAATTCATGTCAAAATCTTGCCCCAAGATTCGCATATGGACATTGGTCAAACTTTACAACCCCCATAACTCGGCGAAATCTCATCAGATTTTTACGAGGTTGGGCTTTTTCTTCATGGTTTTCCTTCTATATTAATCTGGCATTAAAATCTGAACACCGATTTCTTGGTCGAAATTCATGTCAAAATCTTGCCCCAAAATTCATGTATAGACATGAGTCAAACTTTACAACCCCCATAACTCGGCCAAATCTCATCCGATTCTTACAAGGTTGGGCTTTTTCTTTATGGTTTTCCTTCTATTTTAATCTGGCATTAAAATCTGAACACCGATTTTTTGTTCGAAATTCATGTCCAAATCTTGCCCCAAGATTCGCATATGGACATGGGTCAAATTTACAACCCCCATTACTCGGCCAAATTTCATCCGATTCTTACGAGGTTGGGCTTTTTGTTCGTGATTTTCCCTCTACAATAATCTGGCATTCACATCTAAGTTCATATTTTTTGGTCGAAATTCATGTCAAAATCTTGCCCCAAGACTTATATATGCACATGGGTCAAACTTTACAACCCCCATAACTCGGCCAAATCTCATCCGATTTTTACGAGGTTGGGCGTTTTGTTCATGGTTTTTCTTCTATAATAATCTGCCATTAAAATCTGAACACCGATTTTTTGGTCGAAATTCATGTCAAAATCTTGCCCCAACATTCGTATATAGACATGGGTCAAACTTTACAACCCCCATAACTCGGCCAAATCTCATCAGATTTTTACGAGGTTGGGCTTTTTGTTCATGGTTTTCCCTATACAATAATCTGGCATTCACATCTAAGTACATATTTTTTGGTCGAAATTCATGTCAAAATCTTGCCCCAAGACTCATATATCGACATGGGTCAAATTTTACAACCCCCATAACTCGGCCAAATCTCATCAGATTTTTACGAGGTTGGGCTTTTTCTTTATGGTTTTCCTTCTATATTAATCTGCCATTAAAATCTGAACACAGATTTTTTGGTCGAAATTCATGTCAAAATCTTGGCCCAAGATTCGTATATAGAGATGGGTCAAACTTTACAACCCATTACTTGGCCAAATCTCATCCGATTTTTACGAGGTTTTGCTTTTTCTTTACGGTTTTCCTTCTTTTTTAATCTGGCATTAAAATCTGAACACCAATTTTTTTGTCGAAATTCATGTCAAAATCTTGCCCCAAGATTCGTACATGGACATGGGTCAAAATTTACAACCCCCATAACTCGGCCAAATCTCATCCGATTCTTACGAGGTTGGGCTTTTTCTTCATGGTTTTCCTTCTATATTATTCTGGCATTAAAATCTGAACACCGATTTTTTGGTCGAAATTCATGTCAAAATCTTGCCCCAAGATTCGTATATGGACATGGGTCTAACTTACAACCCCCATAACTCGGCCAAATCTCATCCGATTTTTACGAGGTTGGGCTTTTTCTTCATGGTTTTCCTTCTATATTAATCTGGCATTAAAATCTGAACACCGATTTTTTGGTCGAAATTCATGTCAAAATCTTGCCCCAAGATTCGTATATGGACATGGGTCAAAATTTACAACCCCCATAACTCGGCCAAATCTCATCCGATTTTTACGAGGTTGGGCTTTATACATCTAAGTACATATTTTTTGGTCGAAATTCATGTCCAAATCTTGCCCCAAGACTCATATATAGACATGGGTAAACTTTACAACCCCCATAACTCGGCCAAATCTCATCCGATTCTTACGAGGTTGGGCTTTTTCTTCATGGTTTTCCTTCTATATTAATCTGGCATTAAAATCTGAACACCGACTTTTTGGTCGAAATTCAGGTCAAAATCTTGCCCCAAGATTCGTATATAGACATGGGTCAAAATGTACAACCCCCATAATTCGGCCAAATCTCATCCGATTCTTACGAGGTTGGGCTTTTTGTTCATGGTTTTCCCTCTACAATAATTTGGCATTCACATCTAAGTACATATTTTTTGGTCGAAATTCATGTCAAAATCTTGCACCAAGATTCATATATAGACATGGGTCAAACTTTACAACGCCCATAACTCGGCCAAATCTCATCCAATTCTTACGAGGTTGGGCTTTTTCTTTATGGTTTTCCTTCTATATTAATCTGGCATTAAAATCTGAACACCGATTTTTTGGTCGAAATTCATGTCAAAATCTTGCCCCAAGATTCGTATATAGAGATGGGTCAAACTTTACAACCCATTACTTGGCCAAATCTCATCCGATTTTTACGAGGTTGGGCTTTTTCTTTACGGTTTTCCTTCTATTTTAATCTGGCATTAAAATCTGAACACCAATTTTTTTTGTCGAAATTCATGTCAAAATCTTGCCCCAAGATTCGTATATAGACATGGGTCAAAATTTACAACCCTGCCAACTCGGGCAAATCTCATCCGATTTTTACGAGGGCGGGCTTTTTCTTCATGGTTCATGGAACTTTATAGAATTGTATAGCACTTATATATTATAGAGAAACGGAGGGAAAATGCGTTTTTGTAGGCAAAACGATACGATATTCTCACCAAACTCTGAAATTATGAGTTCTCTTTTCTCATATATGTAATAAATATAGGCTTTCTTTGTTTCTTGGGAGCTACGTTTTTAAAAAATCCCTCTGATAAATGAGAATATTTCAAATTGTAAGTTTCTAGCTTATAAAGATCAACGAGATGACGCGATCACACAGACAACTAGACAGATGGACATCGTAATGACGTGCCAGTTTATATATTAAAGCAGAAGTTTATATACTAAAGAAGATATATACTCGGCGATGCAAATACAACGGTAATGTAAAAGAGCTGGACATCCCATGATTGCAACGCAATATATAAATTACCGAGTGCCAGAATACTAAATCATGTATAATACTTTAATTTCGTTACCCAGCGTTCGCTGGTTAAAAATATTGATACCTAGTAACCAATTTTGAATTCGACATATATTTCTCCGAAAAAGTTCATAAAAATGTTGAGAATGATTTACTAACCTGAGCTGTATCATCTGGATAAATGACTTTCGACAAATAAGTGTGATGGTTTGGTACATCTTTTAGAAGGCCTAAAATAAAAACAAACAATTATTGCAATAATCAATATATTATATTAAAAATACAAAACAATATGTATTCATGTGTATCCCCTAGTCACGGAAAAATCTCTATCTCTCATGGCTTATTTTATACAAATAGCTGAGACAAGGGATGAGATTTGCCCACATTAAATACAATAGCATTATAATTCTTTCAAACTTTCTATATATCTTACCTATTAAAACTTAAGTATTATCTACATTTTAAGCAGTTTGTAATTATGTAGTATTATAGCTGGCAGAAGGGCCAAAGCCGTCTGGTTTACAACAAAATATATTACATTTTGTGCCACGCACTTATGAGCAATCAATAGATAGGATAGTAGCCCGAAAATTTGGCCTTACCATAGCGGTACAAACTCTGAATAAACTATCTGAAACCTGTTGATTTATCTATCTAGCAAATTTCTTGAACACATTTATTACCAAGTGACCGAACTAAAAATAATTTGTTTCATCATCTGTCACGCTCTCAGCATTTTGTATAAGTAATACTGGAATATCAAACCTGTTTGCTCCACACCAGGGTGCTGGATGTTGTTCCATTGCTGCTGAAGACGCTGTGAGTATGTTTTTATTCTATTCGTGTACTCTTGATGTTCCAATGTGTGAGAATCCAGCGCACCAACGTTAATCATGTTACTAAAGTGCATTATAATGAAATATTAAAACAGATTTGCAAACATATTTGCGTTGCACGTACATTGCAGTATTTTGCACCAATCTGGACAACGCATTTTGGTCGTCTTTCTTTGGCAGCGACTGAGAACAATCATTGCTCAAATCAGCAGAGTTGCTTCGTCGCAAAGCTGGACTTTGATTGACAGAGTCTGCCAGAAGATGAGTCCTTTCACTGGGTTCGATGCCCTAAAAGAACGAATTTACTTATATCTGATCATACAACTTTAAACATATATGATCTTACTTGGTTGCCTAGGTCGTCTGTACAGTGCCAACAACTACAAATAGAGGCTAAACATTCCAAAATTGAACGAACGTAATCCATATTACCGCTGTTATTGTTAAGAATTTTCAGTGATGGAAAAAAGTATCAAGTTATCAGTAGGGACACTCCCAAATAATTAATGATGTGGTTGCCCATAATCACTAATCTATGACTTGCACGAGCAGGGTTGCCCATAAACCAAATTGTGCGGCAAAACCTTGGCCGTCAATATATAAAACATAGTAAAATATGTGAATTATAATAAAGTATATTTATAATTCTACTAAAATTTGGCGTTACATTATTTGTACATAAGAAGTTTTTTGTCTGATTAACAGTTCCCAAAGGTCTTGTAATATCCATGAACATCAATTTACGCTTCTAATGGCACTGCGCACAGTTATCGATAAATCTTAATGTTTTGTTTTGAAAGACAATATTAAGATTATTTTAAAAACAAATATGGATAATATAGAAATTTATTGTGGACAATGGTTAGCCTCAAGGGGATGACAAAAACAGCACAAAAAATGCGGGAAAGTGCCTGCTATTTTCAATGTGGAACGATTATTGCATATATATCGAGTACTTAAAAACACCGGATGGTATCGAGTACCTATAATCAAAACAACGACCATGTTCTAAAAATCAATGGATTTTCATACTAAAAAACAACAGAAATGAAGTTAATCAATAACACAAAATAATAAAAAACGCACTTATTGCGCATGCAATTAATTCTTATTTATGAAAATAAGGTTCTGAACTTACGTTCTCCATTCGTCAGAGGCAAGGCATCCCTCCCGCCAATAAAGCCTCGACTAACTTAAGAAATAACATAAAATAATTAATATGGTGTTTGTTCTGATGTAAGAGCATATTCGCATGCATAGAAAAAACTAAATTCCTAATATAAAAAGCTTATTTTGCAACAGATTCTGGGTGCTGATATGGCTGCTGGGTATTGCCGCAACTATTTTCTTTTGCCTACGTCAATGGATTCAACGCTACAAAAAAAAGTTGCACTGCCCTGAGTCGGAAAATAGATTGCATGTTGGCATATTTCATCCATACTGTAACGCCGGCGGCGGAGGGGAGCGCGTTTTGTGGTGTGCAGTGAGGGCCTTGCAGGTACAAGTTGCTTATATTACATTAGAACATCATCCGCCAATATTAAGAGAACTTTGTTTTGTTTTAGAACAAGTACGATAACATCAAGATAGTTATTTACACAGGAGATATTGACGCAACGCCCAGTTCAATTCTGCAGAAAGCAAAAAATGTATTTAACATCGCACTCGAAGTCGAACACATATCATTTGTATACTTAAAGCAACGGCATTGGATTGAGGCGGGAAAGTATCCACACTTTACTTTGCTGGGACAAAGTTTGGGTTCAATTGCTTTAGGCCTAGAGGCTGTCTGCAAATTTCCACCAGATATCTTTATTGATACCATGGGATATGCGTACACGTACCCCGTCTTTCGTTACCTGGCGGGCAGCAGAATAGCCTGCTATGTTCATTATCCCCTGATAAGCACAGACATGCTTAAGAAGGTTCAATATCGCCAATCATCTTTCAACAACAAGGCATATGTTGCGCGTAATCCCTTTTTAACGTGGATAAAGCTTAACTATTACCGCCTGCTTTCAAAGGTAAGTTCATTTTTATAAGTCGCTGACGCTTGCGTTGATATCGGCTTCGATTCATTGGTTGGTTTCTGGTGTTGCTGACGTGTGCTAGTGAGGTAGGCGTAGATAAGAATATATTTCGGCCTGCTGGTGGCTCTCCACGTGACATTGTGTTGAAGCATAGACAATGATATTAAATTATCAGTCCTCGGGTATACAAACTCTGTGAGTTTCTTGGTCATCCAGAACACGGGGAACCCAGACGAATTAATGGGGGGAGTGCTGCTTTAGAAGACGAATGACCACAGTGCTAGTTAAAAATGAGAAATACGATTCCTATTATAAGATCTCAAATACTGAAAATAGCATAGTGCAGCTAGTAAACGCCGGGACGGACATGGCATTAATAACTCGGCTATTGATCCCATTCTGGGGTCGTAGATGTCTCCTGTGCGTTATGGATTGATTTGATATAACTATACCGCATATATAATGAGAATATTAATATGAATTAACTATTGATGTTGATAACAGACCACACAATATATATTTTCATTTTTTTCTTTTTAGACATACAAGTGGGTTAGTTGCTGTTCAGAAACCATTTTGGTGAATTCAACATGGACTGAGAATCATATCGTAGATTTGCTGAATGTTCCATTAAAAACTCATCGTGTGTATCCGCCATGTGACATAGAACATCTTAAGAGTCTTGAGCACATAGAAAACAATGAAGAAATTCTAATCGTCTCTGTAGGGCAGTTTCGCCCCGAAAAAAATCATCCTTTACAATTGCAAGTTCTGTATGAGTTGAGGACGCTGCTGGCCAGAGATGAAGCACTGTGGAATCGAATTAAACTTGTTATAGTGGGATCATGCCGACATGAAGATGATTATGAGAGACTGCATAACATGGAGGATCTCGCAAAACATTTGTCTCTGGAGAATTCAGTTGAGTTCAAGGTTAATGTTAAATATGACGAGCTCCTAAACATTTACAAACGTGCCAAAATTGGCATACACACTATGTATAATGAGCACTTTGGCATTGGAATCGTTGAATGTATGGCAGCCGGTGTAATAATGATTGCTCATAGGTCTGGTGGCCCTTTGCTTGATATTATTGAGACTTCTGAAGGCTGTCAAAATGGGTATCTTGCAACGGAAGCGGTTGAATATGCAGCTAGCATATTGAATATAATACTTAACTCTGCAGAGACAAATCAAAATATTGTTTATGCGGCGAGGTGCGTACTGTGGCATTTAATAGTGCAAGCTTAAACGCTAAACCCTTTTATACATTTCAGGTCCTCTGTTGAGAGATTCTCTGAAAAGGAATTCGACGACCAGTTTCTACGGGCGATTTCGCCAGTTTTTGTATAAGTTACTGAATAACCGATATGCTGACCGAGAATAAAAAAAGTATACTTCATTGGAAACCAATCTCGTCATTTTGCGAACATTCTAACTAAATTTGTTCTTCTAATGAGGTTTGTGCTTTTTAAATAGTTGAAAGACCTATTGCTTATTAATATGAATTAATTATAGGCTATGTAGTAAGACTAATTATATTTGTCCCTGTTATGTATGTATACATAAGCCAAATCTAAACTAAAACTTGTAAGCGTGCTCTAGCCGATAGTAACTGACTTGGAGATACACTGACAAACTTATTAACATAAACAAAATTACTACACATACAAGACCCAAGCTGCGATCTTTAGACAGCGACGTATATTTCGTTGAAAGTATTTTATACATAACTACAGCTTCTTCCGATTATTTATGAGCTAGATAATTCGGTTGTCCGATGTCGATGCAGGCATACGACTAGACAAGAAGAGAGTAGAGCGCATAACTTGGTGAAGATATTGTAAAAGCAACAAGTTTTTGAAATTGTAGATCAATATTAGATAATAAATAACAAAAATTACAGCACTAGATTTATGCGTGACACATTTTGCCACAAAATGAAAGTAACTTCTGTAAGAGTATTAAAACTTCAATCGACAGTTTCCTCCTTACCGTTAGATGAATACTCCCAACTGGGTAAACACGTACTTACATCATAACGGGTAACTACTGAAGGAAAAAACACCATGTCACAAAATGGCACATTTTTGCCGTAAAACTAATCAAGCAACCAGCAAATTTCTCTCTTTCCAGCTTTTCCGAGGACTTAAGCCCACAACCATCAGCTTGGGCTTAATTACTAAGCCACATAATCCCATAGCGTCAGCTAGTTAATAAATACTTAATCACCTACGTTTACGTTGGTAACTAGTCAGTCAACTTGTCAGTCATGACAAACAGATTTATACGACTTAATGGCAAATTATTAAACAAGTTAAGCTAAAGATATTGTAGTCTTAAAACAATTAAGTATGCCAAATTTATTGCCAGTTTTGTTTGAATAATTTTATGCTAAAACCTTCACTCCGTGACCATTGTACTTTGCGATGCATATTTTGTGCCGCTGTTCAATATCAGGTTTTTCGAAGCATCAAGTGAAAGTGATTAAGTAAAGAGAGTAAATATGACCAGCACAAAACAACAACGTTCACTTAATTCGGCAACCCGAATTCGAAATACAGTTATTTTTTATTGTAATAATATTCATCCAAAATGTCTGAGGACTGATCTTACAGGTAAACGTATTCCCTGATTAACTTTATACAAAATTATTTATTATATATCAATATACATATATTCGTATTTGAAAAGTAATTCGCGTATTGCACACTTGCAATAGTCCTTAAATTGTTTTAGTAAGTGTATAAAAAAGTTCGTTTTTAACATGTTAGACGAACACTCGAGAGTTGAGCAAGAAAAACGGCTGAGGATTGAAAACACAGCAAAAGAGTTACAACACTTGCTCAGTGCTGGTTGGTTTTTTTTTGATATCCCGAAGTTTGATTAGTTTGCATAGCATACAAAGTAAAGCCACAGTGCCCTTAAGATATTGAACAGCTTTATCAACAAACACTTTATTATCTTCGGAGCCCCAATTGTTTGGGTCATAAGCCGTATGGTAAGTGATTAAATAAATAAATAATTAAAATTCACATGTCAATATACTTGTTGTTTTTGTTTATTAATTGTAGACGAAGAAAATGGATGAAATGGAAACTAAAAACATTTTGGATGAGAAAGAGGAATCAAATATACAGAAGTTTTTTGATGGATCGAATATATTAATAACGGGAGGAACTGGATTTTTAGGAAAGAGTAAGTAAAACTTATTTTATTATATAATAACTCTTGTTAGTTAATTTGATATTTTGTTTAATTTATTGTCTGATTTCAGTTTTAATAAACAAATTGCTTACGTCCTGCCCAGGCATAAACATAATATATTTGCTTGTGCGTAGTAAAAAGAACAAAAGTGTAGATACCCGTGTGGATGAAATATTTGATGACCCGGTAAATATACAAGCTCGGAATTATAAGAGATTACCCTAATCAAACTGTTTTTTAGGTTTTTGAAATACTCAAAAGAAGTTCTACAAAGTATAGTTTTCACATCAAAGGCATTGCCGGCGACTGGTATTTGGACAAGTTACTCCAAGAAATTAAGTTCAATATTATATTATTTATTTTTTTTTGTTATGAATCCACAGCCTGAAACCTGCCTTGGGATTAAGTATCTATGATCGGAAAATGTTAGTAGAGAGTGTCAACATTGTGTTTCACATGGCTGCAACCGTGCGGTTTGATGAAAAACTTAAAACAGCTATTAAAATAAATGTTCATGGGGCATATGATATAATGACGCTGTGCAAGGAGATGAAATCTCTGAAAAGTGTTGTTCATGTATCAACGGCTTATACACACTGCCCTCAAAAAACAATTTTAGAGAAGTTATATCCAATCCAAAATGATGCTAAAAGCCTAATGTTAATGGCTGAGTGCATGCCCGATAAGCTGTTGGACCACATAACACCCATGTAAATAAATTCCTTAAACTAAAAAAACGCGAAAAATATCTAAAAAACATATATATATCTGTCGGGAACTATTCGCAGATTAAGCTTACTTTAAAGCATAGCTTCTAGTCTAGTACTTGAGAATATATTAATAATTGGTATATTTGCAGTTTATTGGGAAAGTGGCCAAATACGTACACTTTTACTAAAGCTGTAGCTGAGGATGTCATTAGAACTTGCAGCGAGCAAATTCCTGTTGGTGTATTTCGTCCTGGCATTGGTATGTTTTTAATCAATTGTGGATTTGAATGCGAAACAAAACATATACATGTAGTTTTCCATTTTTGTTTACAGTGATTTCAACCTACCAGGATCCAGTTTGCGGGTGGATAGACAACTTTTATGGTCCAACTGGAGTAATAGCTGGCGCTGGCACTGGGGTAATGCTTTATTATATTTTAATTTGATTTTCAGATATTAATTGCGTAAATGTTGTCTATATACATTTAACAGCTGCTGCGGACTTTACGCTGTAACCCAAAAGCAGTTGCAAATATGGTTCCAGTCGACTTATGCGTGAACAGCATGATAGCTGCTTCCTGGGATATATATGAGAGACACAAGTAAGGTGTCGATTTATGACAGTCTTAATTATACATACGAACTCCTTTTAACGTTTATCAGTTGCCGTTCTACAAAGTCATCCGGCAGTATACCCGTTTACAACTTTTGTACAACCAGCGAAAATCAGCTAACCTGGGGCGAATTCACAGCCAAAACCACAAAGTACGGACTAATGTATCCAACTCTGACAGCGATTTGGTATCTATGCTATTCAAATACAACTAACCGGGTAGCCCATATGATATCAATTTGTTTTCTGCATTACTTGCCTGCACTTCTCATCGATATTCTATGTTTGTGCCTTGGAAAGAAACCACGGTAAGAAACCAAAAAATATATAATGTTTTTGTTGGGGTGCTGTTCCTATGCCAAATGATTTATCCTGTCGAAGCTAACAGCTAACGAAGAAAACAGGTCTTTAGTCAAGAGTATCCGACTAAGAGATAGACTGTACTCTGATTCAACCTAAAGAAATATAATAATTTTTTTTGTGGATTTGAATCGGTAACTTCTCGGTTTCAGCTGTGCATCGGGTCGAATTATGTTTCTTCTAGAGTTTCTTCAAAGTAGCTCTCATGCTTGTTAAATCTGATCTATAATTGTAAAAAATAATTAATGGTTATTACAATAATCTTATTTACAGGCTACTTAATACGTATAAAAAGATACACAAGTTCATGAATGTAATTGCTTACTTTTCAATGCGGGACTGGGACTTTCGTATTGATAATGTTGAAGACCTTTGGAACCGTATGACAAATATTGATAAGCAAATATTTTTCTTTGATATGAAGCAGTTAGATTGGGATTTTTTTCTTCAACAATATTTTCGTGGAATCCGAAGGTATTTATTAAAGGACCCATTGGAAACCATTCCAAAAGCATTGATTAAATGGAATCGGTAAGTCAAATTTCTAATAAAAATTAAATACGACTAAGCACTAACCCTTTTTATTGACAGCTTGTACTGGCAGCATCAATGTCTTAAAGCTATAATTTATGTTATAATCTTTTATATATTTTGGTTTTTTTTGAAATGTCTATTTGGCGTTCTTTTAGCTTAGATTCTCTGTCTACAAACAAAATTTTTTGTTTTTCATTTTTATCAATTACTTAATCCAAGCTGGATCGAAGATGTCTGGATGTCGGATTCAACAACAACACGGTTGTTAAAATATCTATTAAGTTTTATAAGCGTATGTTTTTAAAAGGATTTTAAATGGGAATAAATTGGAATATTCGTATGCTGAGATTTTTCCTTGGATTAGGAACCACACTGCCCGGACTCCTACAGGCCCATTGGCCCTTCTGCACCTTTTATCATCTGCTGGCCGTGAACGCTTTTGACATCGCACTAAACAATTTGGATTCCGAGGACGTCATAATACGGTTTGGAAGGCTCTGCATTATGAATTCCTTCATGCCGCTGTTTTTTTGGATGTTCGCCAGACTTTCGACCCCGTCTGGCATGGGGGTCTATTTTAAAGGCTAGCGGCTTCAACCTTTGTGATGTGGGGCATCTTTTTACTTAAAGCGCTAAGGATGTTGAAGAATGGCGTTGATGGTGGTGGTCTTCATTTTCAGTGATAGAAAACCTCCTTGAAAGCCGGAGGACGACCCCGAGTCATATCGGCCGCATCTTCTGTCTACGTTATCGAAGATCTGGAAAATCCATGACAAGGCACCTTTATTCAGCCAACCAATTCGGCTTTTGCGCTGGCCTCGAAACCATGGAGCAGCTTTACAAGATGGTTAACCACGGCCTGAAAACATTTCACAAAAAATCGTCATGTTCTATGTGGCGTATCTGGACTGCCGGCAAAACTGAAAAGCCGATTGAAGTCGGCCTACTTTACCCTGATTCGGTCATTATTGGAGGGTCATTGTTTCAGGGTTAAAGTAAGGGCAGGAGGGAGCAGTCCCCACCCTCTACATTATCCGGTAGAATACCAACACTCCGGGCGTCCATGCCCTCGGACTGTCTTGGCGCTTTCTGCTAATGACTTCATATGCCGACGAAGTCTGCTCCATGGCTAGCGCTAGGTCCCCAGTTGTTGGTCCTGGTCCTCCTCAGCAACTGGACTCGATGCTGGAATCTCGAAAAACAGTGTGCTTCACATTTAGACGAGAAGTGCCGATAGCTCCTAGGCTAAGCGGACTAACCTACTCCACGAAGACTTAAAGATCCCTTGTTCGAAGAACAAATTCAAAACCACATTACCATCGGCTAGCCGCACTCGCCGGCTTGGCAACCTTTAAGGGGCCCCTCTTATCAGGAGATTGAGAAAGATAACTTTTACACAGATATTCCCACCTAACATCAAGAAACACGCCCATATGCTCACCTACCCTCAGGCTGGCCACCTGTTAGCTGAATTGGAAAATATATGTAAGTCGCATTCCATTCTAAATCAATCAAGTTTCTATATTATTTGAAAGCCCATGACTTTGTGTAACCAACTATACATTTTTGGAGAATTCCAATATAGTCCACAGTTTTATTGCCTCCCAAAAAGTATGCAGTGAATTGTCCGAATAAGTTCCGTATTTATTGCCTAAGAATTTGAAAAAGATTAAACAATAATCTTAAAAATAACCCCTTTGGGGTAGAAAAAGAACCACGACTGATCCGATTGGCTTGACCCCAGTATAGCATAGATAGATTCTGTTATAGATTTAAAATGTTCCCATAAAATATAATATGTCGAGTCGGTACACTACAAGTCTATCGAAAACATCGATGGGCTCACTATAGATAGTTTTACAGTTCTACTAGAGGTAGGTTTTTGCAAAGCTACAAAGCGCAGCTTGGTGGGTATAAATGTATAAGAGTAGTCGGACTCCGATTTTCGGAGCTATGCATTGAATATCGTACGTAAGAGGGTATTGATCAAATTTTTTGACTTCGCCGATTTTTTCGATTTTTTCTTTGATTAAATTTTATTAACAAATATTTAGACTGTTTTAAAAACATATTTTATTTCTTTGTATAATTTTAAAATATTTAAAAAGTAGATTACTTAAAAAATAAAACCCGGATATTTGTATTTAAAGTGTTGTAAAACCCTTGGTGACTTTTGACGGAAACACGTTGATTCACTTTTCTAATTCAAAGAAATCATAATACATAATAAGTGTGTACATATGCATTTAATATGTACTTTAAAATTACGGTTTTACAAATTTCCAATAATTTACACTAAACTAAATACATTTACAATAATTTAGTACTTATTAGAATAGATATTGTACCTAAATTTGTATTAAAAGTTTTCTTTTTTTTTTTTAAATACGAGTTGCTCTTGCGTTGCAGTATAGTCTATCATTTTTTATCGTTGTCAAGTTTACTTTTATCCAGAGATGAAGATACCATTCCGCCCCCATTCGAAGGGTACAATTTTTCCAAATAATTCAGTGATTCATTTAGAAATGTCTGTAAAGGGTTAAACATTAGCATATGATATTAAATCGTATTTCATTTATACTATAATCGAGTTTAATATTATCAAACGATCAGAATATATTACTTAAAATCTTTTAAAAAGTATCTCTCACATACCCAATATGTTTTTTACATTGGTTTTCTTTCTATGTAAACAGAATTTAAAATATGTTTACCTGAAAAGCATGCAGCACGGCTATTATTGCAGGAGAACCGAATCCGTGCGTTATTAAGGAAAAGTGTGTTAAATGTCGCTGCATTGAGGGCTCCAGCAAATGCTGTGATCTTGTCCCAAAGTGAGTGGTTCGATCTTGACTCAATATTTGCATCAACTCTTTTGTAATCTGGAAGAAACAAGTATTAAGAAATAGATAAGTTCAGCATTTTGGTTGATCTTTTGAGGCGTTTTTAGATAGGCTAGCATCTTGTAGCCTAAACAGGATAGGACGAAGAGCTATATATATATATATATATATATATATATATATATATATATATTTATTTGATATTGATTTTCAAAATCTGTGAGCAAAGTCTTGAGAAGTCGACTTCGTAATTAATTAGGTTGGGTTGGAGAACACTTACTTGTTGTGAGTGAAGTATAATTTCTTTCCGCCGATAGGAATCCTGGGGCTCTGTTTGATGCCGCACAATATATTCTGCCAATTGTCTAGCTGGGAACTCAGTTTCACAAACGAAGTGAAAGTCTTTGGCCAAGTGCGTTGCTTCTCCCTCGACTAAAGATGTGAGCAGTGTCACGTTTGCTGCTTTTCGCCGTCCGGCCGGCAGGTTCAGGCCGATCTTCTCGAGCTTTTCCCTTAAGAGTCGGCCACCATTTTTGCTCTTTGCCCTAGTTTGATAGAAATTTATTTATTTGAAATGCAATGTCAAACATAAATATCAGCTGCCTTACCTTCTTAGTACGCCACCGAGTAGAGATGCGTTCAGGCATTCGGGCGGCGACAATCTCCGCTGGACTTCGGCAATTGTTACCTTGTATTTCGATGTGCTTGACAGAAGACTGAGTCGACCCGGAACTGCACAGAACACTTCGCTGGGCGATCCGGAGCCTATGTTTCCAGCCTCCTTCCCACTTTTCATGCCTGTAAAAAAAATCATTTTACAGCAAGCATTAATTTGGGGCGAACGTTGTGTTTTACATTCAGCAAAGGTATAGAAAATATTGTTCTTTGTGTAAATATGTTTTGCAATTGAAAAGTGTGAACTCAGCGTGTAAGGATCATTTTACAATAATCCTGCCAATTAGAGGAGCCAGCTTCAATTTCATCGCACACACACACACGCAATATTCATCCGGCTCAGGGGTTGATCAGCATTGTTATTTACACATGTTTGTGTTACCGCCCCATACACTCCGCCTATTTTTCACATTTAACAAACAGTAGGTTCTCTTGTGTTTGAAGTTAAAATAAACATGCAACATGCGAAATAGATGCATATAAAACTATTCCCCGTCGAGTCAGGCGGAATGTGGTCTGCGAAAGACTGGGACTCTTTTTTGCTGCGGGTAACTTTGTCGCCAAACGTAGATTGTATTAGAGGGTTATCTGGTAAGGAATTTAAATATAATTGATAAGCTTTATCAATCGAGTCAAGTCTGCAAATTAGTTGCATTACATGCGAGGCTCACATTGATCTACTCCCCAATTTCTGCAAAGGAAATTAGTCTTCGAAGTCGTGGACAAAATCCTTCCTTTAAGACTCTTTGACTTGATATTAATTAATCCATTTCGAATACATCCAGGATCGATTTTTACCATTTTAACAAATCGATATTCGTTTCAGACTCACATCTCTGATCCCAGCTTTTTGTTAGGAACATATTTTTCAAATGCAGTCAACGCTCCTCTTTAATCGACATTTTATTCGTAATTATGATTTCATGGCGATTGGACAACAATTACAGAAGTTATTCAAGAATGAATAATGGAGGTTGGCTAAGGGAGAAGCCCAGCCTCTGCCTAAGGGGCGCAGCATGAACCATACGTATGTGTGGCTGTGTGTGTCAGTGTGTGAGTGTGTGTGTGTGTTACGACAGCATAGCTGAGCACAGGGTGTCTCAAATCATATATGTATATAGTCGATCTAGCTATGTCGTACCCCCAAGAAGTAATTTATTTAAATATATATATGTAAACTTACTTTTTATCAGAGGTAAGTCTGACATGAAAGCCACATTGTCATCCAGGGCAGGAGCTTGGACATCATCAACCGCATTCTGCAGCGCTTGATGTAAGGCCAGAGATTCGTGTTCATGTCCAAGTCTGGTGCCGTGTGCTGCTCCTGCTGATATTGCACTGCCGTAATCACTTCTTCTTTCCGTGTACGGAAAACCATGCGATAGTTGGGTCTAAACAAAAAGAAAGTCGTTAAAGAATTTTGTGGTAAAAATTTATATTTTAGTCTCTATTCCCTAAACATGACAATGCCTTATGATATACATAGATTAATTATATGATTTAATTAATATATAATATAGAGAGAGGGACATAGCATACTTAGGACCTGGTTAATGAATCTCTTTCAAAGTTTTTTATGCCCTGAACTCATTGAAAATGGAATAAATAAATTTGACTAGGTTTGCTGTTGTCAAGTTTGTATACATTTTACTTGCACACTGTTTGGCTAAATTTTATATTTATTTCGAGAATTTGTATCTGAAATTCGATTGCAAATATCAAATACAGGAAAAATTGCATTAATTAAAATTTTGTTTCAATTTTGGGCAGACCTTTGCCCGCGTTAAGCCTGGGGTTGAAGCCAGAAGCCCAGAACTGAGCCAATCCCAGTGTTTAGGCAATCATGTATTTGTGTGCCTCTCGTGCATGTTTGTGCGCACAAGCTCTGCAGGGGATACGCCTATTCCAGCGTATGCCCTGGCCTGGCCCTGGCCCTGGCCCTGGCCCTGTCCCTGGCTCTGGCTCTGCTCGTGGTTGCAAAGGCACAGTTCGTTAAGGACACGCAGAAGTGTACGAGCATGCGGCTCGCATACAAACGTAGATGCTGCCTGCATGTACGTACATGTATATAAACCCTTTTCCTTTTGGGCCAGGAATTTTTGTTGTTATTTTCAAGATGTTTCAGCGAAATAGCAAGAAAATTTTTAAAATATTTCGTAGCATATTTATATTTTGTTGTCTTTCATAATGCACTTGAATGGAATGCAAAATGCCATAACTCTGTCAATGCCTGTAGATGGGGAAATTTCAACTGCCAAGCTTATTATATACTTAGTATGTTTGCAACTTCGAAAAGTGAAGTATTCACCAAGTTTTGGGTAATAAATTGCTAGCTTAAAAAAAATAAGGAAGTTTCAGCTTTGTGGTGAAGATGAAATTCCATTGCAGCTAGCTGAATTATGAACCCTAAAATGCTTATTAATTCGGAATAATTTAATGTGTCTCATCCTATGCGTATTAAGAGTATTACCTGAACTAATTCTTGGCAGTTAGTTTAATATATATGTAAAAAATGTATCTCTTTCCTTTGTCTGTCGACTCTTTTATGATAAAGTGTATACTTTTTGGGCATAGAAATGACTGAGAAATTTGGGGAATTTATTCTAATAATTCCAATAGGGATTTGTGCTTAAACTAAATTTCATATACTTCCAATAAGAGCTTGTGCTTAAGCTATTTTGTCTATAAATTGCTTTGTTTACGCTAAATACTTACAACATGTCCTTGCAAGTCGTCCCTATGAGTTCTGTGTATCCCCAGTTGATCCTGTGTGGACCTGAGGCCCGCCAACTGATTGTAGTGATGAAGAGGTGCGTGATGCAATGAGGATAGCGGCTGGCCATAGGGATCCGTTCCTAAGTACTCGAGCGGTCCATGGTTCTGCAAATAGCCAGATATCTAAACTATTTTGGCAATGATACGTCCGACTCGCCTGGCGACCCAATTTGGAGCACTTACCTGTTGCTGAGGAGGGCTTTGAGCTGAGTGGTGAAATGGTGGTGGAAAATACGGGGGCTGAAAATCAGACTGCAGTGATTGGTGATGCATGGTAGCTGCCGACCCATGGGTGCCACTGTGTCCACTGTGTCCGGACGTTGGTCCTCCTCTACCTGAATGCCCACCTGAATGGGTTGTATAGGCCGGGCTACTGCTTGACAGGCCCAAGCTACCATGGCCACTAAGGCGTTCCTGTTTAAATATAAGTATACGTTTTCGTACATTAATTGGTTAGTATCTATGTATACTGATTGACTGATTGATGATCAATACATAGCCCAGACCGTAAGAGCTAGGATCTGATACTATAAAAGACACCTGTTTGTGCAGAAGTAGCAAAAAATAGTTGTCTTTCTTCAAATTCATTTCATATTTTACGGAAAATCCCTTCACCCTTTATGGAAATCGGGATCAATAATTTTTTGGGTTCGGCTGAGTCGTGTTTCACATTTTTCTCAGAATCCACGCTTTCTCGGTATAAAATGCTATGAACAGATTTTTTGTAAGCATTTTCTAAATTTTGTGCGAACGGCTTCCTAATGAATGAATGTATGTATGTATGTAATTATGTATGTATATATGTATGTATGTATGTATGTATATATCTATTTGAATATATGTATGTATATATGTATATATTTATGGATGTGTGAATATATGTATGTATATATGTATGTATGTATTTATGTATGTATTTATGTATGTATGTATGTACGGATGATGTATGTATGTTTGTATACATCTATGTATGTGTGAATATATGTATGTATATATGTATGTATATATTTATGTATGTATGTATGTACGGATGTATGTACGGTTGTATGTATGTATGTATCTTTGTATGTGTGAATGTATGTATGTATGTATGTATGTATGTATGTATGTATGTATGTATATATGTATGTATGTATGTATGTATGTATGTATGCATGTATGTACGGATGTATTAATGTATGAATGTATGTATGTATGTGCCTATAGTTATGTATGTGTCTTTGTATACATGTAGGTGTACGTTAATATGTGTGGGTTTTATGTGTGTACGTATGTCTGTGTCTGTATATATGCATGTATGTACATATGTACATATGTATGTGTCTGTATGTATGTATATGTAGGCGCATGTATGCATGTGTGTGCATTTATGCTTGACAGTATGAATGTACGTATGAAGATGTGTATGTATGTATATACGTGCACTTAATCATGTTTGAATGTGTATAAGTGTGTAAGTGCATTGCAAATTTAAAAATGCTCTCCTACTCGATTCTCATAAATTTAAGTAAGGGCTTCAGCAAACAGCAGGCGGCGTCAGTAGTGAAGGCGGCTTCAACTAGGAGGAGGCGGCTTCGATCAGGAGGGGGCTTCTATCAGGGAGGCAACGGCTACAACGAGGGAGGACACGGCATCTTCAACACGGTGAAGGCGCCTGCTTCAACATAGAGGAAGCGGCTTCGCAAAGTAGGAGGAGTCAGCGCCAGCTTCAATGAGAAGGCGGCGGCTTTAACAAGGGAGGTTTTAGCAATGAAGAAGGCGATCGCTATGGAGGAAACTAGGTCAGCTAAAGGAAATCACTTGAATACACATCTCTGTTTTTGATCATGCGTGTAAAAGGCTTAACAATTCGGACAAGTTAGAATTTCACACTGGCACACATCATAGCAAAAGAAAGGTAAACCTATTACTGAGAGAATAACTAAACTCAAATACTTAATAATATTTTTAACAATTTCCAGGCCTCGCATGCAATTGGCAACGGAAGGGTTGTTTCTATGGACGTGGAATTCTTAATGAATTTAATTTGGAATTGATGCTATTGTAACACGACACGCAGTAAGTAAGACTACGCTTTGATTTATCTACACATTTTGGCGCCATATTAATCATTTAGGAATTCATAAAAAAAAACATATAGATTGATTAAAAAAAAAAAAAGATTTAAAAAAAAATATCTTTGTATATGAACATTCGATAAAGTAGCTCTAATCAGATTGAATGCAGCCCAAGTCTAGACAACTCTTGATTTGCTGAATATTTGTGAAAAGGTTATTCTATTCTAGTTATGTTGAATGTTTTACGGATTTTGCTTTTCATTTATTTGTATAACTGTATAATATAGTAAACCGATCAGGGCAACTTCGATAGTTAACCCGCCTGCAACAGAAGGACGAAACTTTGCCAAATTTTAAAAAGATAGCTTGAAGGTACTTTCTATATAAACAAACAAGGCAGTAAAGTGTTATGCCGACTTTAGCGACTCGGGGTTTCAAAAGGGCAACGAATGATCAAAGCTGAATATATTGGTCCTTGCATAAGACCTGACAATATCCAATCATTTTTCGCCAGTAGAAAATTGTTTTTGCCAGAATAAAGTTAGTTCTTAGCTTTGCACGTCTGAATTAAACTTTTACAAAGTTATTACAGTTTATAATTCTTTACTTTTTTTAATTCGAAATCTGAAGAATTTCGTAAAACAGTTTTCACATACAAAATTAGCCTACTATCAAAAAAAGTTTTTACTGTAATAAGTCAGCAATCAATCAGGCAGCCTGTCAAACAGTCGAAACTCTATCATTTATTAAGATTACGATAATCAACTATATATTAGGCTTTAAGCTTAGCCACATGGAATGTAAACTTAATACAAAAATTTCTTATCATAGAAATTAGTTAAACTTAAGATTGTTCGTTTGCGAAACCAAAGACAAAGATCTTTGTTTTTTGACAACGTAGGTTTTTTAATGCCAAAATCGTGAAGAGTTGAAAACTTGAAAACTTGAACTCATTCAGAAAAACAAGTGTTTATTAGTCCTATAGAAGCTAGAACTCTGAAACCTAATCAAGGAACCAGTCAATCAAGCTATAACATTTGGTTTGCCATGTTCCACAGGGGCGGACGCAATGCAAACATTTATATTTCCCACCTTTACCTTATCTAAAGGTTAAGCGTGCATGACAGCAACGTCTTCTACAATTGAAAGAAGCAGATATTTCTTACGGCGTAAATGATCCAATTATCAAGAAGTTATAATTTATATCAAATATATAAAACACACATTGCCAGAAACTTTTATTTGAAAAACAAGGAATATTTTTTGGAGTATTTTTTAAGTGAATCGAAGGCTTAGTCAAGACAAAGCATTTATATTATTTATTATTGCTAATATCCTCCCTTGTTCTGAACCATGTTTCATGTGTGCATGCACCATATTCTATTGCCGTCGGCCTTTCCGCAATAATTGTACTGTCTAATACTGGGATCGAAATCCGGCATTTGCAGCTTGGGAGCGTTACGCACCTGAATTTCAATTACGGCAGGCATATCCACATAAGATAAAGTCATGTTATCATATTGTGAGTTGGGCTTTAAACTCGCAGAGTCGAATTAATAAATGGAATATCTCGAACACAGTTAGTCCGATGGGAACACTCGACGCGCAGGCAAACTCATTATTGTTACAATATTTATGGCAGATACTAATCACAGTTACTTTCCGAAATCTATATAAGAATAATGTCCATGTTTCATATGGAACCGAATGATATATGTATATATTTTTGTTGTCGGCAACAGCTCAGTTTAAGGTTCACGAACACGGGGCTAATATAGAAAACAAATTTGACCCGACGGCGACGACAACGACGACAGCGACAGCAGCCCGTGAATGCCAAAAACGGAATGAAAACTGGTCGACAGGGCGGCAGCAGCAGCAGCAGCAGCAGCGGCAGCGGCAGCATTAGGCCAGAGCGCGACGGCAGCGACACGTCGCGTCGTAACGCCCGTCATACGCCTCGGATGTTTCTGCATTCGCCAGCCGGGGCCAAGTATGAAAATGAATACATACATACGACTATATCTGTACACATGTATATGTCGAGTGCGTAGCCAAGACAACAATCGTGGTAGATGTTTTTCTTTTTTTTTTATTTTAGAAGATATTTAAGCCCGAAATGTATATCAATTTAGATGTGAATGTGATTAGCAGATGTGAGAACATTCATCATCTAACATGCGTATGTACATTATCTAAATTTCGTTCTCAAAGATTGGCTCAAAAGCTTTTGATATGTAGGCAGAACATGTAAGCAGATGAAATACGACAAATAAGAATATGAATATTAGTCTTATATTGCACACAGATCGAACAACTGTTGCATATATAACTGCATAGGTGTTTATCCGTCGGCACTCCAAAAATGATTGTTTCTTCTTGTTTTTAGCAAATGATTTCTTCTTTGCTTTAGTAGAGTTTTGCTTCATCTTTCACCGAATTCTTCTGCCCAGTTTAAAGTTTGTTTCTGTTCTAGGATAACATTCGAAGAGTGTGGCATTGCGCTCTCGTACTCTCTCGTGTACGCTATGCGCTCAACTCTATACTATACCTAAATCGTATAACACGAATTCCCACCCGCAATGCTACTGTACTTTATGGTATACACATGCAGATGAGCCCCAATATAACGAAGTTGATCAAGTGATGTTTGAGCAGTCCAGAGTCTAGGGTGCGAGTCCAAGATGGGGTAAGTTGTGAACTAGAAACTACTATTAACTTAACCAATGTCCGGCATAGGACTTTTTAAGACTTAAGAAAATTCGCAACGATTGTTGTAAATTGTAAAATATAAAAAAAATGTGTATGTCCGTGTATAAAAAACTCACAATGTGCACGACCAGTTGAAGCAGAGGGTTGATCGTCGAATTTGTGTCAGGACACATGCTCTGATTGTTTGTATGTATGTCCGTTTGTTGAATATGCGAGTTGTATGTATGTATACACGCACACACACACGCAAACATACCAGGGATTGACTTTGCCGTGAATGGCTTCAGATATGGCAAGCCATTGCAGCATCCTGTTTGGCAAATCCTTAGAAAATGCAGGATGTCAAGAGATTTAAATGATAATGTGTGTTAGCCATAATACAAGCCAACTACAATAAGCGCTAATGTCTGGTTATTCATAACTGCCATTGTGGGTCTTCGAAAATTGGCAAAAGGCGAAGGCGCATGTGACCGTAGGTAAATTACGAGAATCATTACTCTGTTTTTTTTTTTTATAAGTATTAATGAGGTACTTTTACATGGTGAATATCAAGTGTGTGATGTAGTTGAAATATATCAGATTGCGGTATAATATTGACTGTACCCAATAAAGGAAATTCCTTTCGAATGTAGCTTAGGCAAAAGT